AGGGATTGCAGCTGCAGGGTTACACCCCAGGCATGTATGCCAGGCCTGAGCTGTGCCTGGAGGGGCCAAGGTGGAGTAGGGGGGAGATGAAGCTCTCCCTCACACTCACTGGGTCTTGGCTAGGACTGGGTCTGGGGGTTCCCAGAACGCGGCAGAAATTCCTACTCGGCGGGCGGGGTGGGGAGGTGCTGCAGAGTGGTGTGGGGCGTCCCAAGGGGGTGGGAGAGGATCTGGCCCACGCTGTGCGTGGGCTGGGACTGGTCCTGCCGGCACAGAGTAGCAGGAAGCTCTCCCACACACTCACAGGACCTACGCTAGGACTGGGTCTCCAACTTAAATGTTATTCTGATTTATTATATTTATTTTATTTAGTAAGTATAGTTTTAAAAATTAATCGGCTTTGTCTTAAGTACATAAAGCAAATTATTTAAGAAGACTGACAAATGTTGATTATAGAAAGAACACTAACAGAAGTTATATGCTGTGTTGGACAAAAGTAATATATTTGTTTGAAATATATATTTTCATTCTAGTCATATGTAGGATAGCTAATGCTTTATAGAGGGGAAAATAAATTAAGATATTTTATTATAGTAATAAGGAATTTTATAGAAGATGACTAACATAAGAAGATCCTAACATAAGAAAAGGATCGTGTATTTTTCAGTGTGTTATAATTTTAGAATATTCATTTTATTTTTGAACACACTGGGTTATACTTGAGTTCTGGTCTTAGCTGACCCTTCAAGATCCAATTAATATTTTCCAGTTTACTACTTATCAGATTTGCCTACACTCTGATACACTGAACTGGTATTCTCATAAAAACCACAATCATTAGTAGAAGGAAAACTCAGACAAATATCTGTTTAAATCATATTTTTAAACATAAATCTACAACTACTTAGTTTAAGGCAACATGATTTTATGCTACAAAATTATTTTCATAAAATCTAATAATTCTGACTATTCTCACTAAAGTAAAACTGTGGGCCACAGTGAGGATCCTGGAAGAAGCCTATCAGAATGAGGACCCAATTCAATAATTTACGATTTATGACCCAATTCAGTGATATGCCAGGATGACCTTAGATACAAGTTACAACATTTTAAAAACATAAAACTTCACGTTATATGCAAATATAAGGAAATAAAGCCACCAGGAGTGGTGTCCTAGACAGTTACAAGCACAAAGCTGGTCATCAGCTTCAGAGCTCAAGCTACACTTATTACCTTGAAAAGTGGCTGCATTTCGAGATATGAGCAGCTTTAATGTAGCACTGGATGTCTGAAGCGCCTGCTGCAGATCCTGGCGAGCCGCTACTTGATATCTCTCCTCCATCTTCCTGGTGCAACATGTTGGCTTTTTGGATATGCAAACTTGAAGATCAGGTCCTGGAACACAGAAAGTATTTTTAGAATGATTATCTATCCACTTAACAAATATGACATGCTACACGCTAGGCATTATCAGCCCTGCAGACAAGCGGGGACTCATGTTCTATGTGAACAATGGGTTTACCAGAGCATTTGGTGTAAGAAAATGTCCCTGTCATCCAGTAGTACTGCCACAAGCAAAGGACCAACTGTTGTAAGTCACTCTTCGTTCCAGTGTTTGACACCAAAAGGAAGTCCCTGACGGAGCACACAGTGTGAGCGGCAAGACTTTGCAAAGCTGCCCAGATAGGACTTGCTCCTGAGCAATTTGTTCACATCATTTAACACCACTACAGCTTTCTTTTAGAATGTGAAAAAAAAGTTAGGGGCCTTCTAGTATGGGGAGCTTTACACCTGTGACAATTGGCTAGTTTTTCTCAGCAGAAGTAAAATATACATGTGAAACAAATGCGCGCGCGCACACACACACACACACACACACACACACAAATACACAGAAAATCAACCTTTCTAATACCTCCTTGATAACAGGAGTCTGCTTCAGGTCTTAATATTTCCAAAATTTGTCTCTGGATAAGATGAAAATATTTTAAATCACTCTAAGCCACCTGTCAACAGGAGACAGCAGCATTTCTAATAATTTTGGCATTAGTTTGTTTAAATTAGACAACAAGAAACAGCATTTGAGCATTTTACAAAGGCTAAGAAGCATAATATAATTAGAAATGTCACAGTAGGTAACATGTTGGCAATTGTTTTGCATTTATCTTACCTAACATTATACAAAAGAAAACTCTACTTCAAGTAGTAAAAAAAAGCTATCACCTCAGCTTTATTCCTAAATGAAAGGATTGGGGAATTGACATTTAGAGAAGCACAATAATGAGAGTTTTGGGAAAAGAAGTAACAAATAAATATTGAAGTATATGAACCTGTTTAATGTAGGAATAACTATAAGGGAATTTAAAAATAACAGCAGTGACAAGAGCTCACCGAAGGTCTATCTCTGGGATCCCGGTATCTGACGCTGCTCCACTAGATCCCACTGGATCCCATTCCTAAGCTTGACATATAAATGTTCCCCAGGCTCTGCCCCTTCCCTTTCCTCCCTCCCTCTCCAGCCCCATCTCCAGTAACACAAGTCACTGTACTCTTCCCTTCACACTCTGGCCTTGTTTCTGACCCTTATATTCACCCGGCTCCTTCCAAACATTCTCCACTGTCTCCCTCTTTCTGGGACACTCTTGGCCTGCACCAGCTCACCTATACCTTCAGCAAACACACACCTTCACTCAGTGCATGCTCACCCATTTTTTAGGCCTTTATTCTTTGGTCTCCAAGGAAACTTCCACAACCTTCTGAACAACTCAAGCTCCTCCAACATACTCTTGGAGAGCCATTGATCTCTCCAGGACACTTATGCTTGCAATTTTTATGTGACTATCAATTAATTAGCCCTTTCACCAATATTGTTAAGCTCCAAGGATGGGATGTGGTGTTTGTTATTATATTCTAATTATCTTGGCTGCTACAGATGGTATGAAATGTTCAATAATGTATCATCTCTTTTAATTTTTATATCAATCTTGTAATACATGTACCATTACAGCCATATTTCATTCTTGATGTATGTATAAAGAGGAAAATTACTATCCAGTGTTACCTATATGGTAGACCTGAAGTTTAGAAGCAAATTCCCAAGTTACATTCTTTGCCACTATTTTGCTGACAAAAAAGTCTTAAATCTATATACAATTTGCTTAGAGATGTAACTAGACATTTCTAATTCCTGTTCCAAAAGAAGATACCTCTATGGAAAGTTGCAAGAGAATAAATTTTAGGTTAGAAACTATTCAATGAAATTTATTCAAATTTAAATATGATAAAATATAAAGTTGTACAGTTGACATTTCCCTCTTGTCCTATTTTTCAAAGGTAGAACATATACTTAGAAAACTGCTACCAATTCCCTCTACAGCTATGCTAAACATAATGTAGGAGGGAAAACACTGTCTCAGCACTCTGGGTCAGCAGGTTTAGCAATTTAGACCACTCAGTAAAAATACATACATCAAGTTGAAGAGCATTTACACTGGTTAATTCAGATGTTTCATTTAGAATCTTATCAGTTTGTAATGGTAACATAAGACTAAAGCCAGTAAAAGCAAAAGATCAAGTTTTTCAAATTGGCAAAATATTTTGATCATATTGCCTGTAAGTTAAATAACTTAGACCTGGAGTTCCAGGGGAGAGGAAAAAGAGTTGACAAAAATAAACAGCATTCCATTTCTTCCTAGATCAGTCCAAGAGAGAAATAAGATGAACTAAGTGAAATCCACAGGGAAAGGAGTGCATCGCACACGCTGCTCATCGTATATGCACAAAGAGCATAAGAAGACGCCTGTTGATAAGAACCAGACTACAGTTCTTCCACTGTAAATAAAACAGGCATCACAAGAAAGCAGAGGTGGACCCATTCCAAACATACAGTGCACAGTAACAAAAGAAATTCTTAAAAGATTTCAAATCCTGGTTACAAAGAACATGGAATCATCCCACAATGCTATGAAACAGCAAAATTACTCAGGCTCCAGAGCAGCTATCATGTTTCTGAACAGTAAAGCCAAACTCTGCAGGTAATACTAACCACAAATCTAAATTAAAAATAAAAGCTCTTAACTGAAGGAGCCTTTGACCAGAGTTGTGAGTGCTTTTCTGGATTCCTCACCAGAAGCAGAAGTATTATTTAGGAAGTGTTCATTTCTTACAGTCATCAGCTTGCTTGTGTATTTCTTCCATATGTTAAGATGGGAACACTGGGAAGCACTGCGGAAAGATGGTGGCAATGTAATTTTTACTATCTCCACATTTTAGACAAAACAAGACAGAGCTCGAAAACAAATCCAAAGTCAACCACCAGAACAAAAGTAGATAGCATGATACCTCTACAAACTTCAAAGCAAAAATTGGATGAGAAAAACTAGCAAGAGCCATGATTGTCAGAGTGTCAGCATGGGCAGCAAGGAGAAGGAAGCAAGGGAAGCAGATCTAAAGCATCTGACAACAGAAGGACCCAGAGGGGCAAACAGTGTACTGTACGGACAGTACTGCAGACCAGCAGCTGAGCTCGAAGAGCTCTGTCCTGTCGTTTATTGTGTGGAATAAACCCATAACAGAAAATAAGGGAACAAAAGCAAACATCCCTATAAACTCTAAATCCAAGCGAGCAAGACTTTTCCAGAACAGAACCCCAGGACCAAGTATAAAATTCCAGGATGAAATTTCAACAGAGGAGGGAACCCACACATGTAGAAAGAGAAGGTATAGACCAAAGGGTATAAATCCAGGAAATGTCAAAAATTGAGTGGCTATTTTTTATTATCTTTTTAAATCTTCACTTATTTATTTGGTACAGTGTCTCTCTAGGCAGCTCAGACTCGTTCTGTCTCAGCCTCCCCAGCACTGGGATTACAGGTGTGCCCCACAACGCCCAGTTTCTGGGGCCAGCGCAGCATACAGTAACATGGATCAAACCCAGGGGCTTGTGCTTGCCAGGCTGGTGCTTAGACCACCAAGCTATCTCCCCAGCCCACAGCTATATTTTAAACGCTACACAAAAACGTACACAATAGAACAGCAGAACAATCAGCTCCATCAAGTTAGGAAAGCTATTCTGAAGCCCTGTTTCATTCAAAACATTCAGGAAAAAAATAACTTCAGCTAAAACAAACAATAAAAAATAATAGGGTCAAAGCTGACATGGAGTCAAAACAGCAAGACTAAGAACAGTAACAAAGAAAGCATTGCAGAAAGACACGCTTCAAAACAAAATCAAATCAAAAATTCAACAATACTATTTGAAGATTCAACTAGAAGGAATACAAGAGCTAATTATACAAGGGTAACATAATAAAAAAAATAAAAGGAATAAAGGGATTTGAACAACAGTGACAACAAATATTGAGGTCAGGTACAAATAATGTGGCTCCTGGAAAAGGGATAAGAAGGAAATATGACACTAAAGACTGTATTTCTTATTATTCTGGAACTGTTTAAGTATAATATGAAAAACACAAGTAAGTAATTGTGAAAAATTCTAATTCTGCTCTCTAAATCTATCCAGTATCATTACAAATCAAAAATTTTAAGATGGGAGAACAGAGACAAATGTGCCACCGCAGTGGTGAAGTCCAACTTGGTAATCCTGAATTGGAGCTGGAACTCCCAATGTGAGGTCATAAAGAAGTGTACCTTTAAAAGTTCTCCCTGAAAAGGCCAAGAAACAACGAAATGAATCAAAAGGCCACCCCTTGTGCCCACATTATCATCTTAAAGATCTCATTTCTCTCAAGAAGTAATCAGCGCCTCTGGATTGCAGAAAAGAAATATGTAAGGTGGTAGATGCTAAAATGCCTCCTCCACCACATAGCAAAAAGAAAAGAGATCAAATCACTATGAGAGTCCTGGCAAGAGATTTCAAAGTCTGTGTGACTCCTACTAGGGCTAACACAACAAAATACCAGCTTAAACAAAATAAATGCATTTTCTCAGTTTTGGGGACTGAAGACCCGAACCCACAGCACCA